AAAAAAAGAAAATCATTTCATGATTTACATGTCCCCTTTCTTGCTTGTATGCAAACCTCAAAATTCAAAACACTCTCTCTCTCTCTCTCTCTCTCTCTCTCTCTAACATTTTCTTGATTCTATAATCTTGAAGATCCCATTTCTCTTATTTATACAATTTTTTTCTTGATCACAATCCAAAGCAATCCCCACCCAAAACCCAAAAAAAAAAAATAAATAAATAAATAAATAAATTAAATTAAATATTCTTCCTCTTTTTGTCATTTTTTTTATTTTTTAAAATTGAAAATGGAAATTAAGGTAGGAAGTTTAGAGAGAGAAAGTATAATAAGTGTGCTAAGTGAGGGCAGAGAGGTTGCAAATGAGCTGAAAAGAAAGCTTCAGCCCACAACTGATTCAAGAGAGGCATGTGGCATTTTGGTGCAGAACATACTTTCCTCTTATGAGAATGCAATGAAATTGCTTGATTGTATGGCCCTCCTTCATAATAATAATAATAATAATAATAGAGATGCCTCACAAATGGGGCTGGCCAATGTGTTTGTTGAGCTGCCTAATTCAATTCATGGCAGCCCTTTAAGAAGTGAAGGCTCTGACCTCATCAATTCTAAAGATCAAGTCCATCAATATAAAAGGAGGTAAGTTATAAATCTTGCCCTTTTTTTTCGTAATGATGTTATTTTTCTTGAATTAATTTGTGTAATTTGCTTTTTTTTTTTTTTTTNNTTTTTTTTTTTGGGCAGAAAAACATTTCCAAAATGGAGTGAACAAGTGAAGGTGAAATCAGATACAGGGTTGTTTGAAGGACAGCATGATGATGGGTATAATTGGAGGAAATATGGGCAGAAGGGAATTTTAGGGGCTAATCATCCAAGGTGAGAAATGTGTTTCTCTCTCTCTTTTTTAACTACAAACTTTATTTTAACTGATTTAATTGCCGCTAAATACTGAAATTCTATTTTTTTCGAAATTATGGAATTGATGTTTACAGGACTATAAATGATTAATCATTACCTATCTTGAAATATTAAAGCAATAAGGACAATTAATTGGATTTTATGAAGTATATGGTCTTGACGCCAGAGTATATTTTTTCCTAGATCACTTTTGTGCGTGTTCTGATTTCACAATCAAATATTAAAAGCAACTCATCTGTTTCACAAATTCATTTAATGTTTTGTACCTTATGTTTCTCAAGTTGCATTTTTGTTATAACACAAAGTCACTTGCTCTTTAGATTGTGAGATTCATAGCCTAACAAAGACAAGCACGATTTTATATTCAAGAACCGCGTAGATCAAGCCTTTATATATGAATACAAGATAAAAACAAAATTTTATACTCAAGAACTGCATTGATCAAGCGGCCAATGTAGTATGCTTATGTGTGATAATAAACAAGATAAGAATATCTAGAACAACTGATATGCTAGACGTGTTGTTGAGAATTTTAGAACCTATTTGGACGGCCCCATTTACTGATATTTGAGGGCCATTCTACTTTTTCTTGTTTGTCTTTTTACTAGAAGAAAAAAACTTCTAACATATAAGGCTATGAAAAACGTGTTGAATTAGACTTTACTTACATACGAAAATAAAATACAACCTTTCATTCACAGTGTTGTCTTTTTATGGATATATGTACAGTTTGGATCATAGTTCTAATGAAGAGTGTACAAATGACGATGCAGGGCATACTACCGATGCACGCATCGAAACACGCAAGGATGCTTGGCCACGAAACAAGTCCAACGTTCAGACAACGACCCTTCGGTCTTTGAGGTTGTCTATAGAGGCAAGCACAGCTGTATGCAAGAGAGAGTAAAACCGAACAAAGAAAATCTGGTTGTCCTGAAGACAGAACAAGAAGATCGTGTAGAGAGCCCGATCCAATCACAGGACGCCACTTGTCCTGAGCTCGAACCGAAACCCGAAAATCAAGAATTGGTTACCAAGGACGACAAATTTCCTTTCTTTTCCTTCCCTCCGACTCCAATCGAGTCCGAGAATTTGGAAACACAGTTTTTCTCCGAGAGTAGCAGTTTTATGGGGACAAATTATTCGCCTCGCTTTTTGCCTAAGGCTACATCCGAGTCCTATTTCTCGAACGACTTTGGGAGTGATTTTGGTGAAATTATCTCGAGCCCTACTCCGTACACCAACTTCTCGTTCGGGGATTTGGATTTCTCGATCGATCAAATCGATTTTAGTTCTCAATTGCTCGACACCATGGATTATTTCTAAAAGGAAACCGTCGCCAAATGATCCTAGCCAGCATCAATGAAGGATTTTGATTCAAAGACATTTGTTCATAGCAAATAGTGAATATAATTCCAAGGGGATATGGAATTTGAAGGCCTTCTCCCTCTTACAGATGCTGGCCAAGAGATTTTTCCATAAAACTAGATAGACATTACTTCTTCTTTCTCATTATTTCAGCACACACTCTCTAGACAGGCTTATCAGCCCTCTTATAATTTGTACAAGGTTTAGTTGGCTATTTCTAGCTGTTGAATGCTTTTCATCTGTTGATTTCAGTCAATAATTGCTTCCTTCTTTATAAAATCAAACCCAATAGGTTTCACAATTTGTTTTTTACCAAATAATACTTTATTTGAGACTAGTAAGTATCCGTGCACAACGGCAGATGCAGAAGTTTTTATCAGCCAGGGCAATATGAAATAAAAAGTGCTCGATGTCGTGCTTATTACATACAAATTTTCTTTCTGGAAGAAAATTTTTCATTCACATTCTTCTTCTCTCATTTTTTGGAGTTGTTCCGGTCGTGCTTGTTTATCAAATTTCTAGAAAAAAAATTTAGAAAAAAATCTATTCAATTCAAATCCAACTCGACTTTAACTTAACATCATTAAACTATTCTTACACATTACATCAACTTTAATTCACTATTAATCCGCTCACATAATTGTAATTACTGAACTTTTCCAATCAAATATCCCCTACTTTTATATCAAATTAATTTTAATCATTTTATTTTTAAATATTATTGTAATATTTTTTAAAATTTCTACAGACAACTAATCATATTAAATGTTATCAAATAAACTCTAGTTAACACACACACACAAAAAAAAAAGATGTTTCTCGTTTTTTATAAACAAGCACGACCATACTTGTCCTGACCAAATTCATAACTTTGACTATATTTTAATCATCCTTTTATAATTGCAGAGATAACTCATTAAGTGTAAAATTTGTCTCATTACAAGAAGACAAAATATGAAATCAAAGGATTGTCTGCACAAGCAACAAATTACATTGTCCTTTTTGATCAGTAATAGTCTCATCCTCGATTATCATTTCAATATATTTAATTATACAAGAGAACATAGAGATAGTGTTCGACTTCGTTTTATATAGATTATTAAAAAAACTTAAAATTGTTTTTATTATGTCTTGCGAGTTCTCCCCTTTTCTTCCTAAATATTTATTTGGAAATTATAATTACATATGATTACCAACAAAAATCCAGCCGGGACAGTTGCTCAGGCTGGCCCAAGTGTCAATCCGCCCCTGTCCGTGCGATGCACGAATGGGTTTTGTACTTTATAAAACTTTTTTTTTTGAAAATTTTATTTTAATAATATATTAGTCCACTAACCCGTAAATATTAATATAAATAATATTTTAACACATATATTTATTTTTTGATACGAAAAGTATTATAATTTTACTAATTTTTTCATCATAATACTTAAATATTTTTTTTTTAAATTTATTGTTATATAATGTCATTGTTATTATTTATAACACTTATAAAAGTAGTATTTTTTATATAATAATATTAAATATTTAATGTACATCAATATTATTCAGTGGTATAATTAATTTAGAAATATATAAACAAATTTACAATAAACATTGTGCCATATATGAAAATTTTCCAATACTAATTTATCATATCTCATAATAATTTAAAATATATATATGATTTTATGAAAATACAAAATATATTAAGCATAGAAAAGAACATTAGTGATTAAACAATATTATTGGTAAATTATATGATAGAAAAATTTTATTTTGTCGGATTTTCCAAAATTCCTTGTATGAAAATATAATTTCAACCGTTCAATTATGGACACCTAATTGTTGGTGTGATTTTTCAGGAAAAAAAAATATTTGAAAAATTTTATAATTTTATAAAAAAAAGTGTTGTAGTTTGATAAATTTCTACAACCAAGTTTCTGTGATTTACAAAAAAGTTAATGTAATTTTACACAATTGTGTAGTAGAGAATGTCCAAAAATAATATGTATACAGTTGTGTTATTGCTGAGTTTTATGATATAAGATTTCTAACGAAGTATTGAATATTATAATGAAGACTAGTACAACACCCGTGTATTATACGGGTGCTTGTTAAAAAATTATTCTTAAATTTTACAATTAATGAGAAAACTATAAAAATCTAGTTTATTTTTTTACAAAAAAAAAAAATATATATTACTCTATGTTTTAGAATGATATGTGTTACTTATGACTTACATGTGTTATATTATATTAGTTTTTATAACTTGTATCATATAACTACTTGAAATATAAATATATTAGTTGATAAATAATTTTATTTTTCTAATTAATATTAAAAATAATTTTATTATTATTATAAAGATAAATATAAATTATTATTTTTATACATACAATATGGATGTCAAATCGAAACTCATCAAAAGACGATTAATTTGATATATTACATATGTAAAACAGATAAAAATACAAAAATTATTAACTTTTAAAATATATATACAATTCAATAGTTATAATAAGGAATGATATTTTTTTTTCCCCAAAACGATAGAAGGCACTATATTAAATCTCAAGCGAACAAAGTTCGAATACAAGAGTCTACAAATCGAAAATACAAACTGGGAGACACGCCAAAGGCGGCCTAGAACCTCAACAAAACTAAAATCCGAATAAAACAGAAAACACAACGAGTTAAGCCCCCGCCACTGCTAAAAGCCTAGCAAGAGAATTAACTCCAACCAAACAAAACAAAAGAAAGGAAAAATCAAACTAAAGACACAGCATTAGAAAATTCCAGCCAGTCGAGGTGGGCCAACTGGGCAAGCTTGTTCTCCGGGATTAAGGACTTTTGAAAAACCCACAGGTTCCTCGACTTCCAAAGCCACCAAAGTATGTACGTTGAGAGCTGGATTCTGGCTTCAGCAACTTCAGAGTTGTCGAGAGAACAAATAGAATACCACCAAGTTTTGAAAGAATCTGTGCAGTTGAGCAAACCATCCCAATTCAGAGGGCTTAATTTCCAAACTGAGATTGCTCTTCTGCAATTAAAGAAGATGTGCTCCACTGTTTCAGCTTTTTCCCCACAAATGGAGCAAGTGGTGTCAATATCCACTCCTCTCTTTTTCAGATGAATAACCACTGGGAGAGTGCCAACAATGCATTTCCATAAAAAATGTTTGATCTTTCCAGCAGTTTTCACCTTCCATAACCTCAGCCTGACAGCTTTCTTAATCTCCATATTATCACTACACTCAGGTAAGTCTGCATTCTGAATCTTAATTTTGTTGAGATGTTTATAGGTTACAGAAACAGAAAATTGACCTTTATGATCTAAGCCCCAAAAGAATTTGTCAGCTCTCTGAGGATGAAGAGTAGAAATATTAAGAATAGCTTCACTATCAGGGACATTGAAAACCTGCTGTATTAGCCATTTATTCCAGTGAAAGCCATCACTGTCCCACAGATCCTTTACCCAAATGAGATGATCCCTAGCAATAGGGATAAGGGTAGGATAAGGCTTATTCAATTTTGGTACCCAGTTCAAATCAGATATTTTAGTACTGGCACCATTTCTAACTTCAATTTTAAGCCACTGAGCAAAATAAGGCATCAAATTCATCCAACAGTTCCACATCCAAGAACCACCCTGAGTTTTTGAAGCATTGAGCAAAGAGGAATTAGGAAAATACCTGTCCTTAAGGACCTTACTAACAAGTAGCTCAGGATTTGTGGCAACCCTCCATAACTGTTTACAAATCATTGCTTTGTTGAAAAGCTGCAAATCAAGGAACCCCAGACCATTATTTTCTTTGGGAAGAGCAAGAGAGCTCCATTTCTTCCAGTGTATACCCTTAGATTGATCAGAGTTAGAATTCCACCAGAAATGAGCACAGAGCTTAACAATATCAGCACAAGTAGAAGCAGGTAATAAAAAGCAAGACATAGTGAATGTAGGGAGGGCTTGAATAGCTGCCTTTAAAAGCACCTCCTTCCCTGCAGTGCTGAGAAATTTAGTTTTCCAGCTGGTAAGCTTATTCCTCACAGAGTTTAATAAATACTCAAAAACTTCCCTCTTTGATTTACCAATTCCCAATGGAAGTCCAAGATATCTGGTAGATCTGTGAGATGATATTCCATTAAGAGCTCTACAGATAGCAGCTTGAACATTCTGAGGTGTATTCTTGCTAAAGAAAACAACAGACTTCTGGAGATTCACAGCCTGACCTGTAAATAGCCTATACTGCTCCAATAAATTCATGAGTATACCAGCTTGAGCAATATCAGCCTTACAGAAAAAAAGGGAGTCATCAGCAAATAAGAGATGAGAGAGAGAAGGACCATTTCTAGACAGCTTCATGCCTTTCAGCAAGCCACTATTAACAGAATTTAGGATGAGGGCAGTGAGTAATTCAGCCACAATTATGAACAAATAGGGGGACAAAGGGTCCCCCTGTCTAATCCCACGAGAAGGAATGACATAGCCATTAGTAGAACCATTCAGCTTGAAAGTGAAGGAGGTTGTAGAGATGCAGGCTAAGATGAGCTTGACAAAATCAAAATGGAAACCTATTTGGAGCATGATCTTCTTCAAACATGACCATTCAACATGGTCAAAGGCTTTAACCAAGTCTAATTTCAAAGCCATGAAAAAATTAGGACCTGAAGAGTGCCTATTAAGGAAATGAAAAGCCTCCTGAGCTATGATTACATTATCAGTAAGCAGTCTGCCCTCAACAAATGCAGATTGATGATCACTAATGCAAGAAGAGAGACACCCTTTCAATCTTTGAGCCAATATCTTTGAAATGATTTTGTAGACAACACTGCAGAGACTAATAGGTCTATACTGACTTAAGGAATCTGGGCTGTCACATTTAGGAATTAGAGACACCACAGTATGATTCCAATATTTAAGGAGCATACCTGAATGGAAGAAACTCATCACAGCACTCAGAACATCAGGCTTAATGAGCT